CAGTACTGAATTTGAGAAAGGGGCCTTATTTTATAGTGTGACTTTGACCATTTGACCCTAAAGCCTTATTCTCTGAGTATCTTGGTATTTTAAGATAACCTTGAGAGTATACTGTTACTATAACCCCCTGAGAGAATATTGTACTGTTAATATAACCCCTGAGAGTATACTGTTAATATAAGACCTCTGAGAGTATACTGGTATTTTAAGATACCTTGAAGAGTATACTGTACTCTTATATAACCCCTGAGAATATACTGTTAAATTAACACCCATGAGATCTTACTGGTGCTTAACATACCCCTGAGAGTATACTGGTAATTTAACATACTCGAGAGTACAGTACACCCTCGCCAACCACGGGTTCTGGGTATCCACTGTTTTTACTCTATACCATTTTACCAACCACAGCATTGAATTTTGAGTACTGTATACACAGATTAGTGTGGCATCTTTATCCCTCTATGGTCTAATAAATGCCTTTGTAAATGAGGATTGAATAAAAATAATACTAATAAATAAAAGAAAAAAAATGTTGCATTACTCTTTGGCAATAATATCACTTTGTAGATGGGTGACAGGAGCGAGCTCCCCCATCCCACAATTGTGGGCTAACTCCCGCTGATGTAAGAAATGATTATTCTCCATGTTTTTTGCTTTATAATTTTTTGGGGGGGGGGGCTCATTCTGTATGAACGAGTGTGTGTGCATGTAAAAAAAAATTTTTTATGTACCTGAAACTACAAATTGAAAAAGAACAAAAACACAGCTCAAAGCTTAGCCTGGTAGGGAGAGGATAAGATCCCACTCCTGCTTCCCCCTTCCACTCCCACGAACCGACACGAACTCCCGTGGATGTAAGAAATGTTTGTTCTCTTTTGACCTTATGGTCGTAATTTCTTTTTTTTTCTTCTCTTTTTTTACACATTCTGTATGAATGATTGTGTGTGCATGTAAGAGTAAATTTTTATTTATTTTTATTTTTTTCAAAATTATATCTACCCGAAAATACGAGTTGAAAAATAACAATAACACAGTTTGGCCTGATGGGGGTAGAGCTAGGGGAAAGTAGCTACAGGTACAGTTTAACGTGGCGACCTGCCAAGTCCACACACACACACACATATCCATGCTCTTCATTTTTCTTATTTTATAGCAACATGCCATATGCATGAAGATATATAAAAAGTTATACAAGTGCTCCTCTATTTATGAATTAGTTATGTTCCTGAGGCTTGTTTGTAAGTCCAACTTTACTCTTGTAGATACCAAACATATTGTAAAAAATGGAAAGATAACGGATATTTAATACAGCTATATCCTTTCATACAGCCTTAAAACCTGGCTCACTCTTCTCCTCTTTGATAATGTTTATTCTATCTGGAATTTTCTTCAAAATAATCCAGTCTCATCCACATTAAACACCTGTTCTGGCAGGTAACCCCCCCCTCAGTGATGATATTTGTATCTCTGAAAGTATGTAAGTTGAATGTTCTTAAGTAGAGGAGCACCTGTATTATTATTCAATTTATATTAAACTATTTATATATGTATTTGACTCGTATTTAATTAAATGTACATAACAGGTATTTTTTAGTGAAGAAACAGCCAACTTAGTTAGCTTTGATGAGTGTTATCCATGGCCATGGAACCTAATCCCCTATTTTCCTTAAGAAGCCTTTAGTCTTGCGTACTGTGGATTTGCCAACTGCGAGGTTTTTCAGGAACCTAACCCCCGTGGTTGGCGAGGTACTATTGTACTGTTTTCTGGTATTTAAATATGACCCCGTGAGAGTATGTTGATAATATTCCTTTTGAGGGTATATTGTCACTAGTACTGAATAACATAACACAAAAATAATAATATACCTCTTGAGAGTATGCACATATTACAATATACCTCAGAGTGTATTAGTGCGTTGACATCCAAGAATTTTCTGGTATAATACCTGAGAGTAAACCAATATTATACCTCCTGAGAATATAATGAAATGGTACAGTAGGGTTGGGATATATCGCGACTTTATATAACGATTTTTTTTATATTGCGGCTACCAAAATTATCGACATTTTCTTATATATAGCGATAATTTGTTTTATTTCACGAGGGAAATCGGGCAGGAAATATTTCAAATGTACCGCCAAGGCAAACAAATGCGTTATTTGCTTACCAGAGGCGCCAACATGGCTGCTCACTCAGGCATTCCCACTCGCCCGCTCAGTCTTTCTGAGCGAGTGACGAGAAAGCAGCCAACTGCTCCAGATTACGACATCTAAGGTGAGTGTAAATGGGTTGCTATTGATGTGAAAAGTGAAGTGAAGACAATGGAAAGCTTAATGGAAAAGATTTAATACTGTAACTAATATTTTTGGTTTGTTTATGTATGAATGTTAAGTGAGGGTGGCAATGTGTTGTCTGTTGTTCTCGGGATGGCGCGTCAGCTGCCGACTGCTGCAGATTACGACTTCTAAAGCGAGTGTAAATGGGTTGCTATTGATGTGAAAAGTGAAGTGAAGAAAGTGGAAAGCTTTAATGGAAAAGACTAAATACTGCAACTAATATTTTTGGTGTTCGTTTATGTAGGTGTTGGATTGTCAAGTGAGGGTGGCAGTGTGGCGTCTACTGCCGTGTCTGGTGTTCCCAGGACGGTGCGTTAGCTGCCGAGTCTGGTGTTCCTTGATATTGATGTTGAAATAGCCTGTTGTTCCCAAGTTCATTGGTTCTTTAGTTAGTAAGAAAATAACTCGTTAAGTCAAGTTTAGTCACTTTTTTGGGCCTCCAGAACCTAACCCTAGTTTCCCCATTGATTACATATAATTATATATCGCGATTTAGTATATAGCGGACATCGTTGGACCCTATCTCGCGATATATCCCAACCCTACTGTATTATAAAATATCCCTTAAGATTTGGCGAATGGTGTGGTGTTACCCCTCAGTGCTAATCTGAGTATTTCAAAATACCTCCTGAATATGCAGTCTTGTTGATAGCATTACCCACTGATATTATGCCAGTGGAGAAAGTATTAGTAATTATAGCCTCAAATCTTTTGAGAGTACATTGTGGTTTACCATACAGTCATTGTGAATGTAATTATAATAGAAATGTCAACTCCACACCTACTTATTGCAGCATTTTTGTAGTCAAAGAAGTAAGTGGTGTTAGACTTACTGTGCCATATAATCTGAAACCCATGACAAAGAATTTGGGTAAAGTTTTCCATTCAGACTCAAACCTTTGAAGCATCACTGTCCCTTTACCCAAATACTTTGTCATGGGTTGTGGAACATGAAATGGGGGGGAACATTACTTTTCTTTGACTACATACTATTCATAATCTTGATAAGAATTTGTAGACATTTGTGATTCAATGTAACTTTAGCCAGAAGCCTATTTAAAGTAAGTTGAAAGGAATTCCTGGAGCTGCAGGGTGTTCCACTTAAATGAACTTATAAGGGGTAATAAAGACTGAAAAGATTATTGGTATTTTCATTTATAGTATTTGTCTGCCTGTGATCACAGCATGTGGGTTTCATATACTGTAAGGCAGGTGGCCGCTGACTTGAATGAAACTTGTTCTCAAGTTACAAAGATATCTTCAACAGAGTTCACCTTAAATTGGGTTGAGAGGTTACAGTAATGCATTAGTGATAATGTAGAAGATATAATATAAATAAAAACACCAAATAGCCTTTTCAGTCTTCATTACTCCCCATGGGGTCATATGCATGAAGCACCCAGTAGATCTAGTGCATGATGTTTTGCTAGGTAGTGTAATTGTGAACAATAATAAAGAGGCCCACAAAGGCTTAACAAGGTAACAAATTTAGGTAAAGACATTTATTTTTTTTTGCCTACACATGATTTAAAGCTTGTCAGGGAATAAAAAAACTATTGTAGTTGTATTAGCCATGCCTTTTTTAGAAGGAGAAGCAGTGGGAAAGTTTTTTTTTTATCAGTTGCCATATTACAGGGTAGTCAGAACTTTGATTAAACACTTTATCATTAACCTACCGACTCGGCCATAATTGCTATAACATCCTCCAACACGACTCAACAACTTCCTATTTCTTTTACCTACTCAACTGCTTCCTGGATTTCCATCTCTCCTTGCTTCTTGAGTGTCCTTTACCTCCCATCTTTTGATCTCCTTAACCTATTGATTTTTCCCAATCCCATCCAACCATTTAGGAATGTGTTGGAAGATTGAATCCCTTTGCAATAATATTAAGACAATTATATTTAAGAATGGATAATACAAAAAAATAATTGGTAGATTTAGTTGTATGTACCACACACTCGGGGTTTTTTAGTCTGTTTTATCTCAGGAGGTATTTATTGGTAATCAGAAGGTATTTTTCGAGAATGGCTGGGGTTTGTTGTTGTGGTGACTGCTGAAGCTCTCGCATAACTGTTAATACAACAGCTTCACTACTGAAAATTTTTTGCGTGATAAAAGACCTTAACTGACCTTATGATTTCACTAAAATTATCACATTATTCTTTTTGCTAAGTCCTTGCATGTCAGCCAGAACCACTGACAAGTTTTGATGGGTAATACAGTAGTAGTACCATCTTTACCAGTCAAATTTAAGATCGTTTACAGAGTTGGGCATGAACAAATTAAATGTTTGACAATACTACTGTTGGTAGAATTTGAACACCTAGTTAATTATCTTTAATTCCCGTCATAGAAACTTGGCATAATAATAAGTTTTGTGTGTCTGTTCGTTTGTTCTTTTGTGTGGATTTGTGAGAAAAGACGAGGTCTTGAATTTGGAAATGACGGGTGGTTAACTGGATGAAGTACAGTAATGAATTGGTATGCATGAAAGAGATGAATTACACGAGACTGTGTATAGGGTTGCCCGAGTCATATGAAGGAGATTGATGTGAGATGGAATATTGAGGTAGTGGTTGATAAAGAGGTGAATGAGGATAGATTTAGAGAAAGGCAGTTTGGAGTTGTTTGTACTAATAGTTATGTGTTATTTTCAGTGGACAACAGACAATGATATTGCTGCAGCTGTCCAGAACCTTGGTGTGAATGACTTTTTGGATGTTAAGTTCTTTGAAAACCGTGCCAATGGTCAAAGTAAAGGTTTCTGTGCCATCTCTTTGGGCTCGGATCCCAGCAGTCGTCTCGTAATGGAGAAACTTCCTCGTAAGGAAATACACGGCATGAACCCTGTGGTCACCTTTCCCAGCAAGCAGGCCCTAAATCAGGTCAGGATAAGTATGCTGAAACCAACAGCTGCAGTGTTGAGTTGTGACAGATTTCTGATGTAGGTTCCTTACCCACGACAGAAATTAAAAAAAATGTCTTCCATTATGTACTTGTTTTTACCACCAACTATTTTGACGAGCCCTTTGAAAGCTTATGAAAATTAGTTTCTATTTGTTATGAACCATGGATTAACCAAGGAAGTGTTAACATTATATCTTTCAGTTTGAGTCTCAGAGCAAAACTCGAGCAAGTCCTCAGCATCAACATCGTGGCGGCCCTGGTGGTCCAGGTGGCCATCCAGGTGGAGGCCCAGGGGGCCCCGGAGGACCTCGAATGCCACCACCAGGTCGTGGCATGCCTCCACCAGGGATGGAACATAGACCACCAGGTCCGCCTGGGCCCCACGGTCCACATGGAGGTTCACATGGCGGCCCACACGGAGGCCCCCATGGGGGTCCCCATGGTGGTCCTCATGGTCCTCATGGTCCACATGGTCCTCCTGGTGGACCACATGGTCCTCCTGGTGGACCACATGGTGGACCACATGGCGGTCCCCATGGTGGCCCCCATGGTGGCCCTCATGGTGGCCCCCATGGTGGCCCCCATGGACCCCCTGGACCTCATGGACCTCCAGGTATGGGTCCTCATCATGGACCTCACCAAGGTCCTCCACGTGGACCTCCACCTCACAACATGCAAGGTAAAGGCCTTTTGTATTTGTTCATTATACTTATAATTCTGTAGACCTACACCACTCAATTATCTTAACTACAGTACTGCTCATGCATTTTCAGCCATTGCTCCGTGTGGTCGGAAACAAATAATATTCGTTTTATTGAGAGGTGATACTTACTTGATTGTTGATAGATGATAAATTTAAATTGTAAGATAGGAATTTTTATGAGTTTTCATGATTGCCATGGAGATTCTTTATTTTCTGTAATACTGAATGGTGTACGCTAGTGAAGATAAAGAAATCAGCGATTGGGAGGTGGCCTACATTCTGGAGCTGGAGGCTGGATACTGTATTCACAACAGAAAATGCTTGAAAATTGGGTGGTATAGAGGCCTTTTTTTTTTATCATCTAATTCTCTGCTGGAGAGGGAACTTGAGTATGCATTCAGTCTGTCAGTCTGCATGTCCAAAAGTTGTAAAACACAATAAGTTAAACAAACAGCAGTGAGAGGGACCTAGGAATGAATGCAGTTGATTTTTGTTAGTCTCTGGGAGCTTTGAACATAACTCATATAAATATCGGTGAATTGTAACCAACCTTGAATGTAGACTAATTTGTGTGTGTGTTGTTACAGTTTGTGTAATTATTCTTGACTCTAAGGTGGGTAGATTATGGACTAACTGGGGCATCGAGGCATTAGTAATGGAAGGTTTTTTATTTATTAGGGATGAAAATTTGGGGATAGGGGCATGAGTGGAATTAAAATTGAATTACTGTATATGTAATATAAATAGTTAATGCAGTAAATCCCTTCATATACATAATTTCTAGAACTGTAATTTGCTTGAGAAAAGAGAGCAAATTCAATCCATATATTGTCAGTGTGGATGGTTGTATGCATAGTTTACAGTATGTGTAAACCCTACTCAATGAAAGTGCTGTACATACAGGTATTGGCCATCAAATGATATTGTGTGGGCTGCTTTAATATTTTCTGGATCAACAGTTTAGCCCTTCTCCCCCAGCAATTTCTTTTCTGCACTGTTTTAGACATGTTATTGACGGTATCACAACACGTGTTCTATCATGCTACTGTTTTTGTGAATATTGCCGCGAATGTGCATAATGTTTTAGTATGGAAATATTTTCAGTATATTAGTTTCCTCCTCACAAAACGGGTTTTATATAGGGCAACGTATAGATCTTATTTGGGGAGACATCAGGCATAAGGCCTTCTTTATACATGAGCTGATCACGGAGTGAGAAGTAAAAATCCTAGCATGCATCGTTCATCTGTGTGGGACATAAATTTTTGACAATGGAAAAGACTTATCACTTAGGGTTGGCCAATTTAAACCAGTGGTTTAAAATTTTTAAACCATGGTTTATTTGTATTTATTTATTTATTTTTTGTTTATGCCTTTTTCTTGGTTTTAACAAGTTTTTTGTTGGTTTTTATTACTTAAAGTTGTTTTAATGATTTATAGTAGATTTGGAAAAGCTTATGATAGGGTGAACAGAAAAGCATTGTGGGGGGTATTACAAGTGTATGGGGTGGGAGAAAGGCTATTAAATTTAATAAAAGCTATAGTAAGAGTAAATGGGAAAAAGTGAAGCATTTGAAATAATTGTAGGTGTTAGACAAGAATTTGTTATGTGCCTGTGGTTGTTCAGTATATACATGGATGTAAACTATTATACGCTGGTGAAAGTGGTAATGAAAAACTTTTTTACTGGGCTGCACACATCTCGGCTCCTGATTATAAGTTTTTCCCGTGCATTAAGATGAACTTAAACTTAATTTTTTGCCTTTATGCATGTAGGATGAGACTGGGTGACTGATCAATGCTTGTGTTTTTCAAATTTGCCATTTCACAGTGATTTTTTTGAGATGGAGAAGAGTATAAAATATTGCTAAATCATCCTTAATGTTTTGTTTATGATTACAGTATTAGCATATTAAAAAGTTATGGAAATGGGCTAAAGCTAAAAATAATACAAATTTAAAAAAACAAAACATAGTACGGTAGCATTAAAAAAACATTTAAACCAGTGGTTTATGTCAACCCTGTTAGCGCTGAATATAATATACTCATGATTGCTTCATTAAGCAGATAAGAATGGATTAAAAGTTTCATATTTATGTTGGACCACATGTATATTTTGTTAGATGCAATCTATTATTAGTGGATTTTTACATTGGTGGTTTCCTTTCGTAGATAATAATTGTGGATTCAAGCTAATCATTTGATGGGAGGCATCTGCTTATTGAAGGGTCTACTAATAGGAAGTTTTGATACATTCAAGTTAGTTGTTGCTGTATTGATAAATTTTGCCATATTTTAGGTCCTGGTCCACGAGCACCTCCACCACCTGGTCACATCCAAAGACCCATGCATCCTGGAGGCCCAGGTGGACCACCACCAGGACATGGTGGTCCACCCCCTCGTGGACCACCTCCCAACATGGGTCCTCCACCAGGTCAGCATGGACCACCACCACCTCGTGGACCTCCCCCTCCCATGGATCCAAGAGCTCCGCCACCAAGGCCAGACTTTATACAAGGTAGGTCTTTAGTCCAATGAACATATTTTGTTCATTTCTCTCACAGGCTTTTTGTGATGAGATGTCGTTCAATATAAGACAAAGCATTTCATTGAGGAAAGGCATCACAAGTGGACGGTCTCCATAAACCTGTAATGGTGTGTTCTGAAATGCAAGTGTTGATACAGCACTCTGCTTCTGTCCTAAGGGATGATGGTTCACACCTAGGGCATGCCCCAGTCCACCCAGTTGTGATAACCTAACTTTATATTTGAGGAAGAGAAAGTGGTTAAAGTGCATTGACGGTCTTATTGCCTTCTTGTGTGCCAAAGGCTTAGAATTCATTGTATTTTATATGCACTGGCCCTTATGGGCCATCAGGCCTATGATATCCACTTTCAAGTAGATGTACAAATATTAGGGTTCATTCGCACCTGGAAAGTCATGGAAATTCATTATAAGAATTTCAAGCTTGGAAACTCTTGATCTTCTTCTAATATACAGGGTGTTTTTTTATCAGTAAACCCTCATCTGCATCGATCAGGACGGAGGCCATTTCCAACGCCTGTGAATCCGAGACTGGGTAAGTCAATTTATTCTTACTTTTTAATGTCCATATGCCAAATATGCCAAATATCATATTCCTCGAAAGGATGCTTTATGAGCAATCGCAATAATTGTGGATTTACTGATTAAAAAACACCCTGTATTATTGTGAGAAATAATCCATATATGGTATACTTTCTGAGAATAGTAATATGGGAGGTGATGCAGATTTTCTATTTGTAAAAATGTCGTGATTCCCTGACATTACATTGACAGAGTTTATTTTCTTAAAATTTTAAGTGCTTGTCTTGATACTGTGTGATCAGTTAAAATATTTTACAACGACATTGCTCAATACTGTCATTTTTAGGATATATTTAAAGATTTCTTGTTTTATTATGGAATAATGTCTTGGGCAGTGAAAGGTTGGTATAGAGCTGTAGTACAGAGCTGATTGGTTTAGGGAAGCAGGATGACTGAGATGGAGATAAAAGGCAGGGATAGAAGTACTGTAGTACATGGTACTAGAGGTAAGGGGGTGGATTTCCAGGAAGTACCATTACATGAATGATAGGAGAACATGATGTTCGGTGGTGTATGGGGTTGTCACAGTAGTTGAGAGCAAATGGTGAAGGTGAGTAAAACGAGAATATTTTTCTCCTCATTCCTTTCCATGTTTGTTTATCATGGCTGTCCTGAAATTTAATTTTTTCTCTTTCTCTCTCTTTTTTTTTGCCACCATGCACTTAGGAGAAGGCTTGGATGAGTGAAAAGAAATGCCTATGGATTTTGTGATTAGTATTTTGAAGAAGAATAATGTCTTGGTGAATTTTGGTCTTAATTATTCAGTATTTAAGATTTTGAAGTACATGTATAGTACTTATCCACATAAAACATCTGTAAACATAACTGGCATATCACTTTTGCTTTGTCAGCCTCTAAGCTGCCCTAATGTCTCACTGAATGGATTCTTAACAGCTTTGAATAATTTTTGAGTGGATAAAAAAGATGATGTTTGTCACATATTCTTTCCTTAGTTCATTGACTTTAAAATCTTTGTACCTCTTCACACAGAACCTTTCATTTGTTATTAATCTTGCTTCTTCCAAGTAATGTTCAAACACTCCTTATGCCACTACTCTTAGTACATCCACATTAGTCAATTTCTATTTCATTTACCACACTAATAACACACTGTCAGTTCCCTTTCTTCTTCTTGATGCTGTTCTAATGTGTACCTGTGGTTAGGTCATGTCTGAGTTTAATTTTTTACTTCTCATGATTCTGACTAAAAAAATTGATTATCATATGTTAAGATAAGTTTGTTAATTGATAAGTGGTGTGGCAGCTACATATTTGTCTAGTGAGCTAATAGAAGTCTTTGTACTTTGCTGACCTCTCACAGTCAAGCCTCAATGTAATATACATGTGGCAACTGAAATAGAACAAAGAACTATGAATGTTTTTCCTGTAACCATCCTCTTAAGACTTAATGATTATGAAGAACTGGTGATATTGAAATGGTTTTTTGCCAGGAAGTTACAGGTGAACTGTTGGAAAAGAGGTAATGGTTGTACAATTTGACCATTTGCCCTAGATGATGTTAAATGAAATACTTCCCATAGTGGGGTCAGAAATACCGAGGGGAACAAATAACTGATGGTAGTGTTTGTTGACAGGTGGCTTCCCGGCCACGAGCAGTCCCCCCTCGGTTCCCCACAACCTGGCACTCCCCGCGAGGCCTCCTATCACGCAAGGTACCCTCACCACAGGCTTATATGGCAATGGTAATGCGCTGAGCACCTCTGTTTGTGCTGGGCTGCTGGTGTGTGGTGTGGGTTGTCCCTTTTCCTGTGCTTGATCAAATGATCAGGTTTTTTATTATTTAATTTATTTTCATTTATATATTTTTCTCAGGGGTCAGGGTTAGATTTTGAATGCTTATTGACTTATTCTGCTGTAGAAATTTGTTCTTATTTTTTGAGTGATAGTCTAACGTTTTACACATTGTTCATGCAGGCTAATCCTTCATTCATTTTATTTATATATATATATATATATATATATATATATATATATATATATATATATATATATATATATATATATATATATATATATATATATATATATATATATATATATATATATATATATATATATATATATATATATATATATATATATATATATATATATATATATATATATATATATATATATATATATATATATATATATGGTTCCAAACTTATGCTAGGCACATGGTTCTACTTACAAAGATGAATAAATTGCTATAATGTGTGACCACAAATTTGTCTTAAGCCACACCTGAGTATAGCTAGCTGGTCAAATGGTTCTCTTTGTAAATTAAATAAGTCGCTAAAGATTTATGAGTATTTTCCCCGTTAGCCGGAACAATTGGTGTAGATCTCTTCCAAGGATGAAAGATTTCTGGGTCGCAAGACGACTCTCTCAAACCTGGAAAAAAATCACACATCCCTGGAATTTTTCCGGGTACTGGGAAAATTTCCAAGTTTAATCTCGCATGGATAGACAATATCACACATCCCCAGAATGTTTCTGGGTGCTGGAGGAAGTTTTCTGAGAGTCTAAACTATGCATCTCATCTCAGCTCCAAACTATGAATTGCATCATATGTCCCATTGACAAACACTCTTCCATAATATTTAGACCATGGGCACAAGGAAAATATTTACAGCTAGCAAAAAATTTTATATTTTTTTTTCACACTATCTGTTGTAATAGTGTTAGAGAGATGAATTTGGTACCATAATGACCATGAATAAATTCTCTACAAGACAGTTACAATAAAAGATCCTTAAACAAAATATTTTGACACAATATAATGATGGGGACTCATTCTTTCATGATAAAACATAAGAAATGTTGATACCAGAGTTTTTAAGGGCAGTTCTAAATAAGTTTGAAACTTTTTATTTTACTGTATATATATATATATATATATATATATATATATATATATATATATATATATATATATATATATATATATATATATATATATATATATATATATATATATATATATATTATTTTTTTTTTTTTTTTCAAAATCATCCTGACTAGGTTATCTAAAAGTTTGGTAAAATGAAGTGTTTAAAACTAAAAATTTGTATAATGCGAGCTGTCAAAGGAAGGTATTTTTTGAGGCACGAGGCTGCCAGCAAATATATTTAAGGCTTGCGAAAAAGTGAATGAACTTTTATTCACATCTGTTCTAATTGTGTTTGATGAATTTATCAAAATGATCCTGAATAAATTCTTGACAAGATAGTTCCAATAATAGGTCCTTAAACAAAATTTTTTGACATGATATAATGATGGGGATTCCATTCTTTCATAAAAAATTAAGAAATGTTGATATTGGAGTCAATAAAATCAGTTCTAAATAAGATAGAACCCCCCTTTTTATACAACATAAGCCTGAATAGTTTATCTAAAGTTTGGATGTTAAATAAATATATTAAAAAAAATCTATAAGAATTGGGTGTGCGATGCATGAGTGGAGCTGTGTGTCACAGTCAAGACAGTGAGGAAAGTTTTCCCCAAGTCTAAACGATATATCACGCATGGAGCTATATCTATTTAAGCTAATGCTTCTATACACATACAATACATTGGAAACAAACAGAATAATGTATACTACTCCAGAAAATCATCTGTTAACATTGTGGTTACGTTCTTGTAAACCAAAGTTGTGTGAAACAACGTTAACACTCTTGTGTTTGGGTAGGCACTCTCCCCCGAGATGCTCAGGTTCTGGCCTGTTACTCATCACACCACACTTGACTGCACCAAACAAGAGATATTTGTACATAATGAGTCATAGCAAGCTTACTATTTTAGATAAAAATGTGGGATTTGTTGCATTAGCATTGTAAATAAATTATCTACAAAAAGTTTTATATGAGTACAGTACAGTAAGATCTCATATTTAGCGCGATTTCATTTCGCGTTTTTGAATTTCGCGAGCACTACCTAATGTAACCAAGCCTTATATTTGGCATAAAATATCGTGAGTTTCGTGAGATCCAGCAAGCTGAATGCTGGCCACCGTCTTGAATGACGTCACAGCCCTCATACCAGTTAATAATTTCTGCTACAACCCGTGTTTTGTCAACGCGAATTGGTTGTAACGCTATTGATGAATAGGGGCATGCTGTTTGTAAATGCGAACTTTTGCATACGAACGTTGGCTATAACACGATTCCATCCTCAACGTTTTAAGCGTGGCGCGGGGTTATGCAATGTAAGTATTTTTTGAGAGGTACTCTTTAAATTTTGTTCTTTTTTTGGTGGGGGGGGGCAAATTTAGCTGTTACCCATAAATACTGTATGAAAAGAATAAGTAAAAACAATGTTTTGCAGTGCAGACTAATAACGATTTACACCAGCGCTCTCTGTTTACATCACTTGATCAGTTGAATCACGTGGTTTCTGTTGATTGCTCCGTGATTTTTGCTGTTTTCTCCAATTTTGTTGTGTTAGATGTAAATATGGAAAGACAAGGTATGAAGAATGTTTCCAAGAAGCGTTTTGGTGATCGAATTGCTGGTGGTGAACATAAAGGAGACTTACAAGAACGCAACTATCGCGTTGTAGCCCGCGCCATCCTAGCGACCACCCAGGCTGTTATTGTGTGCTTTTTTGGGTGGTGCTACCACCTGTCGAGTCAAGATAATGGCCTCTACCTCTACTGGGGGTCCTACTGGTGCTGGTAGGGGTGGGACAGACCCACTTAAGCGGCCAAATAAGGAAAAGGAGAAGCAGGTCTATCATAATGGAGTTGAGTTTGCCAAGTGTATCGATGCAGGATAAGCAGCGTGTGATTAAGTTACTTGAGGAAGGCCTAAAAACTAATGAGATAAAAAAGATTACTAGTTTTCCGGAGAGCACAATCAGGTCAATAAAGGCAGAATTTGTATCATTTGGAGGTTATAAATGGGAAAATCAGAGGTTGATATAGAGTGGCCAGTCTACAGTATATTGTTATTTTTCCCATTAGTTTGTGTTTTTGCATTTGGCGCATTTGAATTTGGCGCAATTTTTCCAGTCTATATTACTCGCGAAATACAAGATCTTACTGTAATTACAATAAAATAATTATTTCTATGTAAGCGCAAGTAGAAGGCATTAGGAGGTACCACACAATCACCATGTGGGGCAACCTTCTTGCACTTTGTACGTTTCCCCACAACTCGACCCTCGCCAACAACACGAGGCATGGTTTAAATCTCAAAACACTATTATGTATAAATAAAATCACTGTGATGAACGAGAAGTCAGCACAAGCCACGAGAAAATGCTTGGGAAATGTGGGTCAAGGTTATGTCCTGTGTTGTTGAAACGCAAAGGGAGACCGGTGTGGTAACCTAACCTTGGAGGCCAGTCTGCATAGTTGCCAGAATACGCCGATATTGCCAAATATGCATGTTACGTATCTCGCGTTCATACGCAAAAGTAAGATTTATTTTATTTAAATTTTTTACTTCATATGCAAATTTGTGTAGGAAAACTCTAAAGTGATCATTTTTATAATAAGCTATATTGTGTATAAAAACCCCAAGAGTGTTAAGTGGGTAAAAATTTTCCCAAAGGATACATAAGAAATAAGTAGGTTACATTCCCAGCCTCCCTTCACCCCCATAACATGCCTCACAAATAAGACATTGTAAACACGATTGTAAATACCTGTATATTTTACAATGTAAATGCATATAGATATAAACTACAATAATGTTTAATATTTAGTGTGATATACTATATTGTACTCAACAATGGCCAAAGGTGAAGCAAGATAGTGGTGGGTGATGGCGAGTGGTAGGAGGGGGGGCGGTGGTGGGAGTCACTGAGACCCAGAGGACCCGCCCACTGCCCCCATCACTCCACTATGAGTGCGACTTGTCTAGTAGCACTCAAAGACAAAGCACTTCCAACACTGGTCTTAATTTTGTCAGCACTAACACGAACAATATGCACTGTGGTAGCAAGTAATCTCAATGCTACCCCTTTTTCAACAGCACGCTCTCTAGTTTCAGAGTTACATAAAATATCCATCTTCTATGCCAGACTGATGATTCTCCTTAGCTTCTTGCAATTAGCACTACTAGTAAAATTACCTGCTGGTTGTTTTGAAGCAATTTCAATGGGCAAAGTAGAGTAACAACGTAAACAAGGTGAACTTGAGGTACACTGAACATGTGATGCATCCACACTTGGCAGAAGTGTAAGTGAGATTGATGCTCTGCCGTGGTGATGTGCAGCATCACTGGGTGGGTGAGTGAAAGTATTTTGCAGAGTAAGGAAATACAGCTTGACTGACAACGTAATAATGATTTTACACAATATTGTGTAGAACTTTCATATAGAAATAGTACTATACTGACTTGATAACAAAACAACGTTAACTGGGACAGCATTAGGAGAGGACTTAATTTACTGTATTGTACAGATCCACAATCCCTTTTTCGAAACCCTTGGGGCTGGATGTGTGTCAGATTTCAGAACGGTAGTACGGTACATTAACGAGCACAATTGGTTCAACAGAGTCACTCGATAACTGAAGATCTCATTAGCTGAATCTATTATTTCAATGGCAGGGAGATTACCCAGTGCCTAGTTATCAGTCATATAGAGGAGTTTTAAGTTTTTTGCTTATAAAAGTCACTGAATTGACTTGGCAGAATATAACTTACATTGCTATAATTCTTGTAAGATAGTGATTAATGTGAATATAAATATGCTATAGTTTGCACTAGACCAAAAAAAATTAGTAATTATGTACATTTTAGTACTGTACAGTACAGGTTTGCCCTTAGGACAATTATTTATTTTATTTTTTCACAATATGTATTTAGGATGGTGTGTGCATGTAAAGGAGTAAAAATAAATGAAGAAAATTACATATACAGTATCTACCCAAAAATATGAGTTGAAAAACTAAAATTTTTATCTCTTGTGCAAATTATATGATGTCTATATTCAAATTATTTGCTGTTTTGCAAGGATTCCAGCAATGCAAGTTATATGAACTAAGTGATCCAAGCAGCTAGACCACATTCATGCTTGGCATGTGGGGGAGCATGATGCAATCTTTCAGAACTTAATTTTTCTGGAAAATGTACGAATGTACAGTACTGTACAGTTATGTAACTAATAATTTTTTATATCTTAACACTGTTTTCTTGGCTGATTGTGTCCTGGTACAGTATTGTACAGTACTGTACAATACATATTGTATGCAAAAACAGTACCTAGTGACAGAATAACCTAAAATGGCAGCAGAATATGAACTACTGTAAGTGATCCAAGCAGCTAGACAACCCACATTCCTGGCATGTGGGGAATGTGTTGGAACATGATGCAATCTCTCAGAACTTCCAAAAATTTATTCCCAAGCCCAGAATAGAGAGGTTTCGAGAGATTTCTCAGAACCTTCTCAGAATTTTTCCGGAAAATGTGGCCAATTTTCATCCTCGGGAACTCGTTCACAGACCCGAATAGAGTTTTTTCACGTAATTTTTCTGGACTGATTACAGTTTTGACTATTGGAAAGTTCAGGGGATCGGGGATTCTGGCTAACGGGGAGATTACTATTCATTTAGCTGAAGTTTTTTTTTTTTTTTTTTAGATTATGAATGTGCTTTCCATTTTGTGTTAACATGGTGTAGTGGTCCTTTGTTGAGCTAGCAGTCATGAACATTTGTGTACTGGTTTATCAGTGAAACTGAATTGCTTCACAAACTTCCAGGTAATTAAGAACCTCACTTACTTTATTTCACTCAATCCCTGATGAAGGCACTGGTGGGTTGCCTCAAATGCCTTTACAGTGGCTGGCAGTTATCCAAATCTGGAATGTTTAAGATAACATGCCAACCATAAATTAATAACTTCACCCTCTTCTTTTTTCAGACTGACCTAATCATAATGTGAATTTGTTCATACATACACACAAACAAACATATAGTAAAACAACCTCTTGAGTGCAACATCTGGTGTGTCGGGTATTGTGACTATGTAAAGTTTTTATCACTAGTTCCCATTCTTAGCCCAGTTACTGAATTAGATCTCAAAGAATTAACATAAATTGTTGTAAAATGTTGCAGTGCTGATTGGCACCTGTATTTACCTGTAAACATGGATTTCAAACTTTAATCATCTGTCTATATATGTAAATGAGTAATAATAGAAATGCCTGTACAGGAACATTGTACTCTACTCATCATAAGTAGTAGAAGAGAAGGGATTTGTAGGTTCATTGAGCAGTCACTGCAGCAGATAGAATTATTACTGCACAATATGAGTTACATCTCCTTGCGTCATGAAAAATAAAGCATAACTCATCTGAATCTTTGTAGGCTTTCGGCATTAGTGCCTGGAAGGATTCTGGAAAAGTTTCAGCATGGTGTGTGCATGTACTTCTGTAACACACTTACAGTTCAGTGTTTAGCTACACAGTAGAGTTACTATTGTATGTAATCTCAGCACAGTGACCATTTAGAGACCCTAACACATATTACATTAAGGAGTTAGTAACTGTTCAATTACATCACATACATCTATTTATAAACTGCATACTGTATTAATGTACTTATGTACCTACTGTAATACTGCAAAAGTGTTAATGAAAGTTGTGCTCTCTTGACACCATTATAATGAGCCTGAGACTCACTGCAAAATACTAAATATGATGAGGGGACATATGGGTGGAAGTGTTACCCAAGGGAAGCAACAGCCAAACTACAAAACCTTCCATAGTTGCAACACAAAGAAATTGCATCATATAAAAAATACCTGTATCCAGTATAGAACTGTTGGCTTAAAGAGGCTTTGTTTACACACACACTTTTTTTTTTAATCTTGGTCACTATTTTACCATTTAATGCAGTATGGTTGGAGACAAAAATTTTTACACACTCTTCTTCATTGTCTTTTAATCATTCTTAATGCTATTTTACACTGTTCTGCCATGTACTTGCCTTGTTCCCCTGTCACCTCACACCAGCTATCATTCATTGCCCATCGCTGTACGTCCTTCACCCTAAAATCACTCGATGCCATGCATGCTGTTCCTTGATTTCCAACTTCTGTGTTCTTTCCATCCTTAACCTCTTCCCCCTTGGACCCTTCTACCATTGGATTGAACATTCTTTTTACTAATCATTCATTTTCCATTCTCGTCATTTCTGCATTCCTCTAGAGTAGACACTGATTGACTTTCCAAATACTGTACTGTTTTCACTTCCACATCTCATTATTGTTATATTTCTTATTCTTTCTATCCCACATATTGCTTCAGGAACATCATTTCTGTTGTTTCTAATTTGATATCTCTTGTGTCAAAAGTTGGGAGTTCGGCAGTTAAGTGGAGACAGCGCTCGACTCCTGTTCCAGGGGTCTGTGGTTTGATCCCCAGGCACTCCTAGTTCACCCACCTGTAAATGTGTACTTAGGCTTACAAATTGTAAACTTAGGGATTGGGGAAAGTTGCTGGTGTTGGAATCAAAAGTGTAAGTATTTGAATAAAGGAAGTGTGACTAGATTTGCAAGAATATCATGGTGAGTTAGAAGGTATGCAGTGGAAAATTATGTATTGATCTATGTAAAAGAGGCTTGGCATGGAGCAAGTAGGGAAAGATCTAAATTTAGTATGTCAGTTTACTTGCATGAAATTCATAGGCAATTTTGTTGTAACTATTCATGACAATTTTCAGGTCCCCCACCACATGGAGGCCCACCACCACATGGTCCTCCCCCTCACGGCAGCGGTCCTCCAGCCCCTCATGTCAACCCAGCATTCTTCCCTCCACACAGTGCTCCTCCTCCTGCTGCAGCTGCACCTCCAGCACATTATGCCCCACCACCACCAGCTCACCAGGTAATGCCACTGTATCATTAATATTTTCACTGTTGTTTACAGTTAAAACCCAGACATTTGTTTAGAATCTTCTCAACAAATTTTTTGGCACTAACAATTCGTGGTAAAGTAAAGCGTAGATATTATGTTATTCATTGTGTATGCAAGTTGAAGATATGAGCAAATGTGTTTGTGAGTTTTCTTCTTACTGTTGTATCCTTTTCCTTTCTATACTTGTCTTACACCAATCTCCTCATTAATTTTCCTTTGTTCTTTGAGGTTTTCTGTACCTTTGTATACAACCATTGTGAATTTGGGTGAGGAGCAAAGATGAAGAGTAATTATATGATAGAAATCAGGTTCTGATGGTTAATTATAACTTCATTCCAGCATGGTGGGTTCGGCGGGGGTGATCACCGCATAGAAGGACCACCACCACTCTCTGAAGCGGAATTTGAAGACATAATGAACCGCAATCGTACAGTGTCAAGTTCAGCAATTGCTAGGGCTGTTGCTGATGCTTCATCTGGTGAGTGTCTAGTGGGGTTTTTGTCTGATTGTGTTATACATTGAGTAGGTTTTAAATTCTTGTCATGTCATCTATAATGTTACTGCTTATACTGTATGTGCAAATATATAAATACAAGTATATTGCTTTCCATATTGCTTAGTGCAAAATATAGCAAAAATGTACTTTTGCTTAATACAGTTTTCAAGTGGATCCATCACAAACTTCAATGTGAAGCTTGTGAACTTTTTTATTTAAATAGTAATTAGGTTTTACTAATTGTTTTGCTCTTTCTACATACCCTGTATAAGATGTAAAATGTTTTGCATATGTAGTGTAGGTGGGTATATGTTTACCTTTAGTGGCAACCATGTTCTGCCCTGAGAAACATGCAGAACCCGAGTGTCATAATGGTAAAGTTTCAATTTATGTGAATTGGTTATATTTACAAGTACTGTACTTTTTTCTATTCAGGTGAATATGCCAGTGCAATAGAAACCTTGGTGACTGCCATCTCCCTTATTAAACAGTCAAAGGTTGCTCATGATGATCGCTGCAAGATTCTCACAAGTTCTCTTCAGGCAAGTACTATATTTTTGGCTTCTGTTTTATTCTTTCTAATATATGGTGGTTTAAAAGTTGTAAAATTGGTAAAGCATTTTAGAGGGCAAAATCAATATGATCTTCTGTTTACAGGATACACTTCATGGCATTGAAGCTAAAAGTTATGGTTCAAGTAAAAGACGAGAGCGATCACGAACACCCAGCAGACGGCATCGTCGAGACAGATCTCGTTCAAGGGAAAGAGACTACCGTGACCGCTCCCGATCACATTCACGTGAGCGTGACTATGAGCGTCATCGCAGTGAAAGGGATCGTGGAACTTCAGATCGCACATCAGAACGTGACAGAGATTATGAGAGGTCATATAGCCGAGAACGGGAATATGACCGAGCCCGTGAGCGAGACAGAGAGAGAGACAGAGACCGTGAAAGGTATGTGAGCAAATGAGAAAGACAGATTGTGAAAAGTAATTGAACAATGGAAGAGAGAGAAAGAGGGAAAGACAGGGACAATGAAAGTAAGTGAACATGATACAGAGATAGGGATATTTAAAGATTACTGAGTGTGACAGAGAGAGTGAGAGATGGACCATGGCAGGTAAGCAAGAGAAGTGTGATTCAGTAGTGTTTAATTTTTTATATTAATTTTGTTCTCTGGGATTAACATATATTTGTTTGTTCCCTACCAGATTCATCATAGGGGTATATAGAATATGTGTTCTGTTTATCTGTCTATTTGTGTGTTACCAGTATATTACAATTGTTTTTTGTTTTTTGTAAAGTACAAGACAATAATGCTCATCAATTATTTTTCAGATAACATTAAAATTGGCTAACTGGAAGCTATTTTGTTTTTAATAGCTGTTTTTCTCTGTTGTCACTCATAGCATAAGATTTCTCCACTAAAATTTGGCAAGCTTGCATATTGTGTCTTTTTGTTATATTAAAAATGACAGTGGCAGGTATTATTCTGTTTTTAGTAGGTAACTGTTTCCATTGCCATTGATTACAGACAAATCAATATATATATATATATATATATATATATATATATATATATATATATATATATATATATATATATATATATATATATATATATATATATATATATATATATATATATATTGTAAGTTTTTTTATCACACTTAGCATAAATTTTTTGCATAATCCAGTACAATAATTATGTAGATTGAATGTATTTGGGATGTGATCTTTGGTAAAATGTTTCTACATGGATGTAATGCTTTTTGCAGGATGAACAGGAACTGCTAAAGATGAATAACATTGAAAGGGTGTTAGGGTGTTCAAAGGAAATTGAAGTTAAATGGTAGGAAGAATAAGGTTTAGGGTTTTAAGAGGAAGGAGTATATTGCACAGGATTTGATAAACCTTAAAGAATAGAAGTCTTGGTAAATAAGAGTTGTATGTTTGAGATTTAATTTAGGGAGAGAACAGTACATGGGAGGAAGGTGATAAGAGTGCTAGGAAGTATCATCAAGGAAAGAAAAGCTCGCTTGGAAGTCAAGAAGGAACTGATATATTTGTACATCCTTTAACTTTTGGCTGTGAGACTTGGAGCAGAATACCTTAAAATTCGGGCTGCAGAAATAAAGTTACCAGAAGGCTGCATTTAGGGTTACTAGCGTGGAGAGGTAAGAAATGGAGAAGTGTTTTGAATAGCAGAAAGGTCAGAGTAAACTGTGGAGTGGTGGAATGGGTGAAGATGGTTTTTCCTAGATGTTATGGTCATGTGAGAGGGATGCAGAAGGAGACTGCCTATATCTTGAAGAGGAAAGAGAACAGCACTTAAGGAGAACAGGGGAAGGGATATAGGGAATAGAGTGAGTAAAGGAGTTTTGTAGTAATAGGGTAGTCTGGAGGCTCTTCTGTCATGACTGCCCCCTCACAGGGGAGCTCTCTGCAGAAGTGAAGCATTGTAGATAAGATCACTAAAGTTTTCTTAATTTTTTCTTACACCAAAGTTTTAGTCTTTATAACCATGTTGAAAACATACACTGTAGTATGTCTGGGTGTCCATAAACTTTTGCTTGTCTGGAGAATAAATTTTGTATAGATATACTGTAGGTATGTTGATGAAACTTCACATTTATATGTATCTTCACTAGACAAAGTGCAGAACATCAAAGTCAAGTCGTGTCAAAGGTCAAGGTCACAGCTGAAGTTCAGAGATCAAAAATGGCATCCGCGGGGTAAATTTGCATTTGCTTGTTTTTAACCACAAAAATATCTTGTTTACAGAAAAGGTTACTTCAGAAATATATTAGGTGCATATACTATTTTAAGATAACAGCTTAAACTCTTTGAATTTGATATGTCGGTATTTATGTTTGTTTCATAGTCATAATAAAAACATTATTTGTGGAAATGAAGCAACCAAAATTTCAGGTACTATGATGAACGTTACCGGGAACGAGATGCAAGAAGAGAGAGGATTGAAGAACGTCCAGTTCGTGAACGCATCGAAGAACGCAGCACACGGGAAGATGTCAGAGAACCTGTCCGAGAACGTGAACGCGATCGTGACCGAGAAAGGGAGCGCGAAAGGGATGTTAGAACTAGAGAAGAAAGGGAATCATCATCTCACCGGTCCTCCAGACACTAAACCCTCCTCCTCTTCTCATCCTTTCCAATGTGTACGAGGAAGCTTTTGTTTATATGTAACAGTTTAGTCATTGTAGAAGTTCAGTTATTTCCTTATAGGTGTGTTGCTCTCCTTGTAAGGAGATGTATCTGAAGTAGAAAGGCTTCTTAACATGAGTGTTATGTGTGGAGCATGAGGATGGAACTCCTCTCATTTATTTATTTTTTATTTATTTATTTTATTTATTTTTTTATAATACTGTATACTGTACATGTATAACTTAAAACATGAGGGGTGGAATTTTTTTTTTTTTTTTTCTTCCCCATTTAGCTGGTGACCACTTGCATATGTGACTTGCACTTGAGTGTACCATTAAACTGATTGAAAATAATGCTAAATGATAACTGTAATTTTTGGGGTTGATATATGTAGAATTTTCATTTTTTTTTTTTTTTTTAACAGTGCATGTTGTAGACCACATCACTAAAATGTCTGTGTCTAGTTGTGTTACAGGAATTTAGTTGGTAACCATCAGTGGTTTGAAGAAGAGCTGATGGACAGTTTTATGAAATTTTTATCAGTTAAGTTCAAGGAGCTCTTTTTTTTCTGACGTAAATATTTTTGTTACTTTAAAATACATACTTGGGGAGTTAATAATTTCATTTTCACTGCATGTATTGATTATATTGAACATTTGCAATGTCTGTGTGTGTGTGTTTTTTAGGAACAAATTATACTTGAAGTGAGCATAGAGCATCAGTGTGTATGAGAGTTGTTAACATTGCAGGCATCATATTTTGTTTGTATTTTTAGTATGCAAATAATAACAATTCATTACCATTTATTACTTGGATCATCAACAGTTTAGTAACCATAAATATTTCACACTTACTTTGGTTTCAAACTGAAGCTCCTATGTCGTGATTTTTGTAAGAAGCGTTCTGCCTGTGTGCTGATACGATGTTCAGTTACAATAAATATACATGCAAAATGTGTTTGATTATGTAAAAGTGAACTTCATTGGTTATGATGGATTACATATTGATGCAGGGATCACTGAAAAAAAATTAAGTGTGAGGCATCCAATGAAGTGGACTGTCATGAATGATGAATTGTGAAGGATAAGCAAAAAGTAGTGAAAGAATAAAAGTATATTTATTACATGTCTTTATTCATAATTTGTTGCTGGTGTAAAACAGCATCATCATTTTACAGCCATTTACTTCACTTGTATGATTTTAGGCATTTCAATCACTTCATTACTGAACTGTTCCATTAAGTCTACAAAATAGACCTAAATACAAAATCACTTATTGTTGATTTCAAAGTGGTTGACAAGGATTTGATTATGGTGCAAGAAACTTAAAATATATGATGAAAACCACTTAATGGAATCTGATATTCACATTCCTCACGATGATCCCTGTTGACATATACCAGTAATATTGGTTTTTCCGCCATAATGAGGATGGCTATAATCAAATATAACTCGGACATACACAGGTTCTCTCAATAATTGATTGGTTCTGCTGTATTCATGTTCTGTTACACAACAAGCCCCAAAGTATCTAATATCTTACTGTATACCCCTTCACAATCAAGCATCATCTATCAGCAGCACTTTCATTCCCCAAATCAGTTTACTATGTATACTGGTCATTCAAGTACAACACTTCCTTATGTCTATCCCCCATTCCTTCTTGTGTAGTGCATAATTCACCTTGTCCTTCCATTGTCTTAGTCTTAATATCATCCACCTCTGAATTATAAATATTGTACCAATCTTTCATTTACCATTGTTCCTCTTACATGAAAATATATTTTTGTGTATGTATCATTACTCTTGCAAATTTAAAGAATTAATAATACCTTTTGTGTATAGAAGATTCCGAGAGATAACAACCCTCATTCACTAGGATAAGCGAAAAAGATTTTATACCTGTACTTGGATAACTTCACAGTACTGTGAATATGAATTTGTAAATTAAAATCACATTAAAAATGAAAGTTTGTAGTTCAACAATACAGTTTTAATGCCCAATGGTGGAGAATAAGTAAAATTATGAAATTTTAGCCTGAATAGACATAGAATAAAGCAATGTTTCAGATACTTGAGAATGGATATGTCAGCAAGTGGATTGATGAGGGTAAACTGAACAACGGAATACCAGAAGGAAAGTGGTAGGCGAGTGCTAAGGTGCTCCATTGTTTCCACTTTTCCCGTGTAATGATATATGTATATATATATATATATTTACACGGGAAAAGTGGAAACAATGGAGCACCTTAGCTTTCGTCTTTATTCAAGACATCTTCAGAGGCAACTGTGTTACAAGGACTGAGTGAGGCTTATGTACACAGGGTGACCTTGCAAATCGTGAGATCAGGTAAAAAACATGACATCCACTAATCAACACACTGCAAGCAGAAGAGGAGCTTAAAAGAAAGGGCGACGTAACTACCTCGAATGCTTTCAAAGCATTTTTAACCTTGGGCCACTGACAAATAAATTTGTGTAACATATCAGTTTTGTACTGACCTACACTAAGGTTTATAGAATTAAATTATCTAATTAAACTTGTTTCAACCAGAAGTCTTTCTGTGACATGATTATTTATACACTTGATTAGAGAACGAAGGAAGTGTTTGACACAGTAAGAGGAATGTAGTTGCAGTGAAGATAGGATGAACCTTGTGAAAGATTATGCTGCTATTGTTAAAGTAGTATGATGGGGTATATTGAGTCTTACCAAATGTATGCCTTTTTTGGAGGGGGAGGAGGAATGGTCATTTAATATATGTTAAAAAGTTTGAGATGTTGTTTTGGTGTTTCATCTATGTATTTGTGTGTGTTGTTGTACTGAAATAACAGGAGATGTTGGAAAATTAAAGGTATGTGAGAGGAGTAATGTGCATGAATGCATTTTTTTTTATTCCTGCTGTGGTCTATCTTGAAGTTGCATGGATGGTCTGCATTTTTCTGAAATGAGAGGATTTCTGTGTCCAAGTGCAAATAGTATACATGGTCAGTTGGTCACTTGTTCAGTTGGAGATTGTTCCATGGGCACTAGTCAGGTTTGCTGTATCTTTTTGATACTAGATTGTATAAGGGTGCAGCCCAGTGTCGATCAGTGTACAGTTCTGGGTTGTCCATTGATGTATGCCTTTTTTGGTGGAATGAAGTGCTGGTTAGGACTATGAGTGCATTGTTTTAGTGTGGCTTTTGCATTATGGTGATATAATTGATAAAGGCCATGTGTGTATCCGATGTGATACATAGACATGTTGGGTTTCTTTCGGAGAAGGGGAAGGGGGAATGTTTGGTGAAATACGGAACTTGTGGATATGGTGCGAATTCTTATTATCTCGGGTGAAGTGTGTGTGTACTTGAGTGGATTACTGTCATTTGATTACTGTATTTTATCAACAAAACTTCTAGTTGATTTTTATGCATGCGAAGTTCTGATAATTTGATAAAATTGCTGTTAGGATGTTTACACTTGATTGTCTGTAGTAGGTAATGGGTAGCTATCAAACAGAGAGGTACTACCTCCTGTTAAGATATTGGAAGCATAATGTGCTGTTTCATGGTAGGCCCTGCTGTTGGGTTTAAATTGGTTCTCTGACAATACAACAGATACAGTATTTTATTTCTCATTCTTGATCTGTTTATGTTGTCCATTTGTCTTTATCTATGGTTCAATTTATATATTTTTTGGCCCCCTGGCCTTAATGTGGGTTGGTGACTTGTGCCTGAAAGAAAGGAATAACCTCTACCACATTGGTTATTATAAGTTGCTAAACAGTGTTCAAATAAGTTGCGAGACTTATGGTCGTCAAGGCTGCAAACATCTCACTTCAGTCCTCATTTTGCTCCTGACCTGCTGGTTAGTTAAAAACTTTATTGAAACACTGTTGTATCTGATGATGATGTTGCAGGCATGGCAGCGGTAATTGTGGGGTATTAATAATACATGGAGAGAGAAGCCCTTTTGTTTATTAGTCGGCCATGTTCCTCCTTCCAACAATAACAAAAAACATCGGGATGCGCAGCGCACCTCATTTAAATTTACATCATGTAACATCCTTCCCCTCAAGGTAAAGAATGTACTGACAAACTTCAAATAAATAAACAAAAAGAAATAGAAATGCAAGATAATAAAAATGAGAAAATCAAATGTTCTATACTTCAGTATTAATGTACGTCCTTAACCCTTAGAGCCCGGGTGACATTCCAGAACAACCTGCTGGCGCACCCCGGGTGACCTTCCAGAACACGCGCCTTTTCCTGCCATTGTTGAAATGCCCAGTGCGGGTTATCAGGTTCCAGTGTGACTATTTGCCTGTCACACCACACTCTTGCTCGGCCACAGGGAAGCTTCCTGAACGTAATTCCCTACTTTTGTTTGTTTCTTTCATTGTTTGTCCTTTTCTCATGTTGTATCAAAGTATTATTGCTATAAGTAGTGTACTGTAGTTGTATTGTAGTGTAGTATTACTGGAAAATAATGCTATGATTATGTTATAAATGTATTTATTTGTGGAATTATTATTATTTTATTCATTACTTGCTCTACCAAACACAAAGACAGCCACACAGACTGGCGACCAACTGCGTGTGTTGCTGAGCACTTTTTTTATGAAAAATAATGCTAGCCGTCAAAACAACACTGTCCCTTTATCTCCCTCGCCACTGTGGCCACAGGGAAGTTTCTAGAGGGTCAATATATAGGTTTTCTTATTTCTTCATGATTGTTTTATCATTTAAAAAGGTTGAAAATTATTTTTAGAAAAGTTTATTTTTCTTGATTTACTCCGCGTGGGGGATACAACCAGTGGCACCCTAGCCCGGGGCGTAGGAGTTAAGGTTAAAATTAGGGCATCTTCCTTTAAGTAACATAGGTAGTTATTTTGTAGAATGTTACAAAACACAATCACAATAATACAAGACTTAATGCTAAGTATATAGTTAACAAAACCTACATAGTCAGAGCTTTCAGATCAGACCTCAGAGAGTCACTATGAGCAGGTAGATAAGTCCCATTGATATTAGTCCAGCTTCAGGTCTAGTCTCCTAACGGCAGTCACCTCACGTCCAGTTCTAGTCCTGTATTTTTCTTTTATTTGAGAGTGTCCCGCTATGGGAGTTGCACCATGTTCAGACCCTACTGGTTTCCTCTCCAGCTCCTCCTGGATTTCAGGTTCTAGGCTTCTTTCAGGTTTATTGTCTTCAGCAAGATTAATGTCTTCTCTTCTAACTCTTGTGGGTCATATAAACTGCCGATTCCTTCTGTACCATTTGCCTTTTCCGTCTTGACTTCATAGGTTCTGCTTTTGATCTTCTTGGTGACTGTAGCCCCCTCCCACTCTTGCGTCTTGTCACCAGTGACCTATGGTCCTGGTGCCTCTCTGCAACAGTACTATTCTTGTTCTACATTAGTCATGTCTTTGTCCAGAGAACATTGTTTGGGCTTCAGTAGGGGATCATTTGTGGGCACCAGCGTCTTCATCCTCCTCTCCATTAGTCGTTGTGCAGGACTTGTGTTCAGTCCTTGTGGGGTGTTTCGGATGTTCAGAAGTCCGAGGTACAGGTCTTCTTTTGCCTTCAAGCACTGCTTCATCATTCCCATCACAGTCTTCACAGCTGCTTCAGCTGCTCCATTAGCCTTACTATTTCCTGGACTTGACGTCTCATGGGAGATGTTCCAAGCTCGGGTAAACTGCTGGAAGTGTTGCGATGTGAACTGCTGTCCATTATCACTGATCAGAGTAGCAGGTATGCCATGATGAGCAAAATGAGTTTTAAGTTTGTAAACAACAGTCTCAGAGTCAGACATAGGTAAGTAGTCAACCTCAATAAACTGACTAAAATCGTCTACAGTAACTAAATAGTCTCGACGCTTGATTGTGAATGTGTCTGTCCCTACTTTTTTCCATGGATGGTCTGGTACGTCATGCATGTATAGTGGCTCCAGGGTCTATCTGCTAGCTGAAGAAGCACAGATGTCACATGATTCTATGTACTGCCTATTCTCAGAAGACATGCCGAGCCAGAAAATCAGCTCCCTGGCACGTCTCAGATATGAGTTTATTCCTGAATAGACCGCATGTAGCTTGCATTTAATTTCATCCCTGTGTGTGCTGGGAATTATAACCCTCTCTCCCCATAACAACACACCATCTTGAACAGTTATCTCATCTTTGTAGCTGAAATAAGGTGACACTCTCACAAGAACATCACTTTTGTTAGCTGGCCAACCTTTCAAAACAACTACCTTCAGTTGACTCAGTATTTCATCTTTGTCAATGGCCTCTCTAACTTTACACAGCCTGCCTGGTTTGAAGGGAGTGTCAGTCAAGTTATGAATAGATGGCATGATTTCCTGAGGTTCATCTACTGGGGCTCTAGATAAAACATCAGCCACAGGGATGTCTTTGCCTGATTTGTGGCATAATTTATAGTGGTACTCTTGAGTTCTCATTAGCATTGCTTGTAAACGTTTGGGAGCACGAAACAGAGACTTGTCTCTTATGTTAACAAAAGGTTTGTGGTCTGTAATTACATTAACGAAGCGACCATATGTGTAATGATGAAATTTCTCAAGACCATAGACGACTGCCAGCATCTCTTTCTCTATTTGTGCATAGTTCCTTCAAACCTGCTAGTGTCTCAAGTAATCGCTTCTGAAATTTTTCTGAGAAATCATTAAGGCCAAAAGGTAGGTGCAGCCACTTGAATCTACCATGAAATGTTTGGAATGTGGTCAATAGCCAGATGCCAAGTCGACTTTCGAGAATACTCAAGGCTGGCCAAATTCATGAAGGGTTGTAGTGGATTCCTCCCCTACAAACGCTATTTGTCGCTGAGTAGCCGACCCCGTGAATTCCCCAGTGTATGCCTCGTGGTCTAGGTCAACCAGCGCCGCCTTACATGACGGAGGTCAACTATTAAGCCACGCCTACCTCCGCTATATAAGACCTGACCTCGTGGTGACCTACCTCTCTTTCTACCTACAGCCAGTCCTCAAGTAACACCACCTCCACCGCTCCCGCCGGCGAGCATGGCGACCCACAAGCTGGTCCTCCTTTGAGCACCCTCACCAACCAGCTCTCCCTATTCACGCTTGTAACCACGCTGCCTCCTCCCAGCACCAGCCACCAAGCTGCATTGTACATCCAATATAATATGTATACAGAGAGCACATTGTGAGTTTCCTTTCTCCAACCCATCCCATACTTTCTATATTTATCATTCTATCTATTTATATATATCTTAATCAGTTAAATTGTCTATATATCTATATACGGTAGGCCTACATATAAAGAGGGTAACACATGCTATTATCTGTACAGTTACATTCCAGCAAGGTAGGTATCTACCTACCTTGCATTCCAGCGGGTTAGGGTTCCAAGCGTATAGTCATTGGAGTTTGTGTACTAGTATATGTGTGAGATGGTGTTTATTGTCTCAATACAGAAGGCACCAATACCTGAAATGTACAGAACAGGAATTAACACACATAGGCTACACCATCTCACACTTATACTTGTACACAAACTCCAATGACTATACGCTTGGAACAGTACAGTTGGCAACACTGTTCAAATAACCAGTCGTGATCTAAACGTGTGATTAGTAGGTAACGCTCCTGTCTGCTCATTTGACGTTACATTGCAACTTTGTTTTTTCTTACTAGTTTGCTTGAATAATTTTGATATAATTTGATGACAGAGAAATACACACTCAGCTACAGCTAATATGTGAGTCTAAAAGTGTGTACTGTATATTGTTTAAAAAGTCGAGTGCATTGTGTTTTCATTTGTGACTGAATGACAAGGTGGCGAATGGCGATAAATTCTATGGCCCGAATAATTATGTATTTGCATATACAAATGCATAATTTAGCCAATTTTTAAAGGAAAGTGCATATTCATATAGTTTTCGTATTATAAGGCATTTAGGGGGAAAATACTAACAATAAATTATTCACCCTTGTCTTAAATTTCTGTTTTTAATTATTATAATTATTAGTCTATATCATTCATGTATGTCTGTTTGGCATTGTATTTTTTTATAATTTCCTTACAATTTCGATGGTTGCCAGTGTTAAGAAGCGGAAGTACAATTATGAATATACATTAACTAGGGATTAACATCAATCCTCGCTGATGGCCTCGAGGAACCTCAGTGTGTGTTGTGTTGGGGAACGATTCCATGAAGCCTAGTAAGCTGAAGCAGAACTTAAGTGTAGTTGAGGCATCATATGAGGTTTCCATTGAAATACCAAAGAAGAAGAAGAAGAAGAAGGCCCAGACTATTGGTGAAACTTTAATTAATCCGTGTGCTTTAATGTTCTATATGTTACTAAGGCCCATATGCCAGATCAGCCGTGGTGTAGTACTCCCAAAAGAAAGAAAATTGATTTGGATGGACATAAAATGTATAAATCTGCAAAGGAATAATATTTGTTATATGATATACTCCATATAGAACAGCACATGCCACCAGCCTCTACTTGTCTCATTGCCGTTTATATCCTCCAAATTCGCCTAACCATCATAAAAGGTAAGCCTTTAAGATAACTAATACAACTAATTTATGTGTAGAAATGTATTGAAATCAAATTAAAGTAAAAAAAAGTCGTAAATGGTCTATTTGAAGAGTGGTGAGAACAGCTTCCTCTGGGATGGTGAATGACGTCCTTATCAGAATTAATATCGACCCAATTTTCGTAATGAGGGCAATTAATAACAGGCCAGCACTACCAAAATAATTATTTTCTTAGTATAACCACTTTGTAGCATAAATTTCACACTTTAATAAGTCCAAATATGCCGGGTAACCAATGCCAGGTGAATCCAAACTGGTCCATCCGTGATGGTGGGTCCGATTAATTACCCAAATGTAGCCGCAATGAAGTCAAATAATGGTCCTACATGAATAGGGTTACCAATCACTTCTCGACTGGTATTTGGTGTCACGAAGTCACAAAAAATTGGTAAACTTAATTTAATCCGAGTTAATAGATCGAGTGCATGTATCTAACCTAACCTAACACAACACAACTCAGATTAAATTAAGTTTACCAATTTTTTGTGACTTTATGACACCAAATAATAATCAAGAAGTGATTCACAGCCCGATTTACGCTTGTACGACCATTATTTGACTTCATTGCGGCTACATTTGGGTGCATTTGGGTAATTACTCGCTCCCTCGGTACATGCACGCGATCTATTAACTCAGATTAAAGTAAGTTTTCCAATTTTTTGTGACTTTGTGACACTAAATACTAGTCGAGAAGTGATTAGCAGTCCGATTTATTCATGTAGGACCATTATTTGACTTCATTGCGGCTACATTTGGGTAATTAATCGGACCGGTGATGGTCGATGGACGTCCTTTATCAGAATTAATATCGACCCACTTTTCGTAATGAGCGCAATTAATAACCGTCCAGCACTACCAAAATAATTATTTCCTTAGTATAATTACTTATTAGCCTAGAGTTCATATTTTAATAAGTCCAAATATGCCAGGTAACTAGGGCTAGGCACTTCCCAGGCATGTTTCATTTGTGTATCAGTTTAACCACAATTTGCTACTAATAAGATAAATTCAGTGATCTAAATTCATGTTTTATTTTTTTATTCCCTTCGTGACTCAATGTATTACAAGAAAGAACTACTTTACGACTTGTTTGGGCCAACAGTTGGAGTGGTGATATTAATTAACTTTGCCATTGACAGTATGTCCATGATTTCAACAAAAATGAATAAGTCCTTCTAAAGTAAATAGAATTGATGATATCATTATCTTTTTGGACATCCAGCGAATTTAATGATTTTAAGTTGTCCGATTTTTACCAGTTAAGTTAGGTTACGTTAGATTAGTTAAGTTGGATTAGGTTAGGTTTGGTGACATTGAAATTATGTTTTATCAAATGCCAAGTAGGCGGATGACCTAAACATTCATTTTACCAAATTGATTATGAGTAGATCAAAAACATTAGTCTTGTTTTTTTACAAATTCAGCCTCCGTAAAGTTCAAATGACAATCACTTCATGATAGATGTTTCACCCTATACACTAAAGCTACTTTATGTAAGAGGAAAAAATTAGCACCAAATTGTATTGTTTAATACTAAAAGAAGTCATTGATGATAATATTTAATAACAATATTTCAGGTATTACGACCTGATCATCGGGACGGAACACCGTCGTAAGTCGAGGAGAGACCGTAATACATTTTCATCTTTAAACTCCTTGTATCTTACCTAACTCACCTTGATGCTCCACTCAATTATAACTAGATGTAATAATTGTAGAAAGTAATCACAGGTATGACTCCCTTTACCGATAATTGTTTTTATATTACAATTCTTGGATATTCAAAGATAATGAAATTATGAATCTTCAATAAATGTGATATACGTACATTCTAATGATGACAACAGAAATATGTCAGACTTGACTAATTAACTGTAACAAGAAATTAACCTAAGTGAATTTGTCCTTAATCCAACCTTTAAAATATGAAAGACAGTATACTTTATTTTATGATAGTTAAGTCAGTTTCCAGTTAGGTTAGGTAGGTTAGGTTAACATTTTTATATAGATCATTAAAAATTTTAAAGGGATAATAATTTTTGTTCTATGAATTTCTCCAAAAAAAGGGATAACAGTTTTGGAATCACCATAACAATATACACTACAGTACAATACACTAAAAAAACAATAATTATTTTTAGTGTGTGTTGCATATCAAACCAAACAAATCTGAGTTTCCTTTGGAATTTTTTATTTAATTTTTTTTTTAACAGACAAAATTACCCTCAATATTTAGATGTTGGAAACTTATAAATATTAACCCTCATAAATATAGATGTTTCAGAATTTGCAAATTTAACTAACACAATATTAATGACTTTATTTTCACTTACAGGTAGAGATACAGCT